TTGGCTTCACTATATCAGTGCTGCTTTCTGTATCATTGAGGACTGTCTGCTGCTACAAGTAGACTGAAGAGGAAGGGGTCTCCACAAGTTAAGTGATACCCTGAAAACTTTAGAAAAAGATAAGCATAAATAAATAATAAATGACATTCATGCTAAGGGCCTCAAAGGCAGATGAGGAAATTTTTGGGGTGGAGCACTGAGCCTGGAGTTGGGCTTTAATACAGCAGTATGTCTAGGTTCACACCTAAGTGTTTTCTGCAGCGTTTTGCGATTTGGAGAAACGCATTACAGTCCATTTAACATGATTTCCTATGGGACATGTTCACATCTCCGCTTTTTCACCCGGAGCGTTTTTTTTTTTTAAAGGGTCAGGGACTTGCGTTTTTGATTCTATAGACCTCAATGGAGATGCTGCAGAAAAGCATGTAGTGCGTTTTTGATGCGCGTTTTCCGTTCTAATATGCCTAGCAACAAGAAAAAAAGCAAAATGCGCCAAAAAGACAAGTGCAAAAATGCACAAAAAGCACTGCAAAAACGGATCAAATGCAAACTGCATAGGTGTGAACCTAGCCTTACACTTGTGATTATGCTAACACAAACTAAAAGACAAATCTTTCTGTGCTGTAAGAACAATTATCACCCCAACTTCAACTGTTTATCTGAACAGGAAAATATCTGGATGATAAACATTCTAATAACGTAGCAGGTAAATGCATGGCCAGCAATGTGGACTGTATACCTGATATTGTTCCCTGAGTTTTTCATACTGGAGAACTGCTGATGAGCTCTTCAACCTTGAGCCCTGGTTCACGCTGATGCGATGCGATTCCTTGCAAATTTAATGTGTTTTTTGTGTGAGTAGAGTGCAAATTTGCAGTGTGGTTTGTTCTGGACAGCTGCAAATGTAATGCGATTCCAGTGCGAATTTCATGCTAATTTCAGGAGTTTGCAAGACAGCTACAATTTGTGTTCTGGCCAATAGAAATATGATCATTTCTGATGTAAAAAAAAGGTGTTAACTTCCTGTACACTTTCTAGTTTTTTTGTATAGAGTAGTGTGGGTGGTATGTTGCTCAGCATGTTTCATCCTTCTAATGCCTTGGTTATGGCAGCAGTCTTGATAGAAAGGGAGGAAAATAGGAGAAGGATGAGTAGAAGGCGAAGATAGTGGGTCCATCCAGTTATAGCAAACAGGGAGGAGTGTGGACAGTTAAGGGTCCTGTATCATGACCTCCATGCTAATGAAGAGAAGTTCTTCAATTACACACGCATGACAGTCAACAGTTGAATATGTATGTGAGAGGGAGTCTCTCCTCCACCCTATCCTTCTCTCCCTCCCTCCCTATCCTTCTCTCCCTCACTCGCTCCCTCCCTCAATATCCCATTACTCCTCCCTTTCCCACTCCTCCCTATCCCTCTCTCCCTCCCTCCCCTCTCCTTCTCCCTCTCTCCCTCCCCCTCCCTCTATCCCACCCCCTCCTTCCCTCCCCCCTCCTCTCCTTCCTGCCCTCTCTCCCTATCCCTCTCTCCCTATCCCTCCCTATTCCACTCTGCCTCGCTCTCACCGTTCCTTGCCCACTACCCTTTGCTGTCCCTACCCAAGCTCTCTTCCTTTTCCATCAATCTTTATGATAATATACATTGTTATTTCAATTTTGCTGAATTGCTTGGACTACTATACTGCCATTTGGAGCGACAGAACACAACGTTCAGGAACAGTGTTGAGCAAAAAGGTAGGGGTGGGTGGAAGTAAGGGAGGAAGGGGTGGAAGGAAAGAAGGGAGGAAGGAAGGGTTGGAAGGGAGGAGTTGAAGGGAACATAACCTTCCTTCAGGTTATGTTGGACTCCCGTGACTCATTCAGATGCATCAAAGCTGTCGGCTGCTATATTCAGTCTCCCGCACAGACCTCCTCTGAAGCTGCACGGACTGGAGTGTGGGCGGGCACAGGGGGAGGGTGTAGCAATCTCACACACAGAGATGGACGCGGTCATCCATTTTGCTCCAAACCCTCCATCTTGTATCTCTCTCTCCCTCTTCCCTCATCCCCCTCCCTCTGTGTTGAGTGACACGTAACCCCTGGATGCTGAGTTCAAAAAGGCATCAAGGCCGAGCGGGGGAGCTCCTGGCTATAAACCCCAATTAGCCTGGCCCCCGTATGTCTGCAAGACTCTGCTTGGAAAAGGGTCGTAAAACCATAATTCAGTCCCTCGCTGAGCTTCAAAGACATTCCAGATAAACCGTGAACCAGACATCACATTCAACATCCACTTTCCCTATGATTACATATCTTGGAATATGAAAGACTTACATAAAAACCAGGCATATATTCACATAGGTCACTTTAATACAAATCCTATGATATATTACACCCCCTAGCTAACAGCTACAGGAGAGCAGAAAATGATATCACCTTAACCGTCCCAGCAGGTATGTCATATTTCATATCTAGACGTTCAGCAGATGATTCTGCGTATTAATCTACCCATGGATAGAATGTTACATGTAACTAGGAAATGTTATTGACCATAGTATAATTTGGGAGGGATTTGGTCATAGACTGAAATGGAAGACAAATGAGGCGATTGGTTCACTGCTTTAAGGAGACACCCTGCTGAGTTCCTAGAAAATGGCTGTTATGTTTGCAGCAAGCTAAGTGAGTTGACCTAAGTTGAAGATTCTCCCTTTTTAACATCGGAACTAACTTTGGGAGATAAGGCACCCTTTTGGCTCAGGAAACTTGATCTGCTTAAACCAAGGCTGATGGCAAGAACTTTATCCCTCTAAACTTCTTTCTGTTATCTCTGTGCTGTGTTATTGCTCTCTGTGTGTATATATATATATATATATATATATATATAGGCTACATCTTTTTCTGTAAATATTTTTATTGCACCCTTTTGACCTTTTTTAGTAATAAATCTTACTTTCTGAAAGTGTTGAACTGTTTCTCAAAGCTCTTTAATGCAAACTAAGAACCCCTGTCTCTGAAGAGCGCTACTGTGTGTTTTAAACGTCTGCATACATCTGTCTGTGGTGACATTGTGTATACAAACAATTATTCGAACATCCTAGTGTTATTGCTAATATTGCAGAGTTTCCTCTTTCTCTGTACAAAAAGGAGGTGGTGGCAGTGTGAAGGGTTAATTGCGTAATTAACCTGACCCAGTAACAATAGCTCCCAGGCTACAAGTACACAGATTGTGGTTCCCTTAGCTGGAAAATCTTTGTGCAGGGTGCAGCTGGGCGTGGCATTGTTACGCATGTGACAGAGCGGTTTTAGATTGGCTAGTCCTTCGGTCACGAGTTTGGTGAGAAGGGCTGGGGTCTGATGCCGTGATCGTCACAGAGGGCACAGCGGGAGGTAGAGCAGATCCAGCCTCTTTACCCTTTTCTCCTATTGGTGCAGAAGATGGAGGGAAGGACTGGGCATTGAGAAGAACACAGTGGCGGTGTGGGAGAGAGAGAGGGGCTGGGGGTAGAAAGAAAACTGAGCCGTCAGGTATGTCCTTTACAGTGGAGGGGGCGGTGACGAGCAGCGATTTCCTGTATGGCTGCAGGGATGGTTGGCATCTCTCCTCTGGGGGGGGTTCAGACCCAACCTGACTTCCCCCTTATCTATGCCCCTGCTGAAAGGGGCGGGGCGCACACTGTGATGTCATGTTGCTGTGACGACCTCCCTGCTCAGCGGCGGATCTTTCATTGCGGGCTGGTGGTCCAGAAGGGAGCTCTGCTGGGGCCATTCTCAAACCCCTGTCTGCCATTTAGTGACCGCTCAAGACTTTCCAAATGACTGTCCACTTCCGGGCACAAGTCTTCCATCCGTACTATATGTCTTCATTGGTGATGAGGCCATCTCTATCTCTGAGCATCTTCTTAGGTCCTATACCAATCGCTCACTTACTGTAGAGAAGAGGGTATTTAATTACTGTCTCAGAAGGGCATGACATGTTGTTGGAGTGTGCATTCGAGATACTTGCAAATGAGTGGCGTTTGCTGCATACCCCTATAGGGCTAACCATGGACAAAGCTATTGCTGCTCTCAAAGCAAAATGTGTTCTTCACAATTTTCTTAAACTCGAGATGGCTACCTGTTTGAACATTCCTTGATGCACAATTTGGAAGAGGCACAATGGAGCATAACTAGAGGCAACACCAGTGGTGCCAACATTCATGAGGGTTTCACTGACTACTTGTCTACAGTTGGTCAAGTGTCATGGCAGCTTGAGGTTATTGCATGAAAAATATAATACACTTTGCTGACAATTTTGCGTGCTGTATTACTTTCATTTTTTCAAAAGAAATTACATATGGTTGTGATATACACAAGTGTTATGTATGTCTTTCATTTGTGGTCATATCTGGGACAACATACAACATACAGTCAGGTCCATAAATATTGGGACATCGACACAATTCTAACATTTTTGGCTCTATACACCACCACAATGGATTTGAAATGAAACGAACAAGATGTGCTTTAACTTCTTGCCGACCGCCCATAGCCGAATGACGGCTTCACCGCGGCCGGCCAGTTCTGAGTGGACGTCATATGACGTCCTCCCAGAACGCGCTCTCCTGCGCGCCCCAGGGGGCGCGCACCCGGCGATCTCCGTGATCGCTGTGTCCTACGGACACAGCTGATCACGTGATGTGGTGAAAGGCCGATCCCACCGGCCTTTTACCACGTGATCAGCGGTGTCCAATGACACGCTGATCACAGGGAAATGCAAGTGCCGGTTCTCGGCTGCACTTTCCTCACGCTGTCAGATCGTGAGGAAAGTACTGCCGAGAACCGGCAGTTGTCAGAGCGGGGATCGGCACCGATCATCAGGGCACTGATGATCAGTGCCCCAATGATCGGTGCCCAGCAGTGACACCCGCAAGTTCCGCCCAGCAGTGCGCCCACTAGCCCCGCCCACCCGTTCCCAGCAGTGCCCCCACCTGTGCCCAGCAGTGCCCCCACCTGTGCCCAGCAGTGACCCCACCTGTGCCCAGCAGTGCCCCCACCTGTGCCACTCTGCAGTGCCACCTACCTGTGCCCAGAAGTGCCACCTACATGTGCCCAGCAGTGCCACCCACCTGTGCCCACCCACCAGTGCCACCCACCTGTGCCCACCAGTGCCACCCACCTGTGCCCACCCACCAGTGCTGCCCACCAGTGCCACCCACCAGTGCAGCCCAGCAGTGCTGCCAGTCAGTGCCACCAGTCAGTGCCCAGGGGTTGTGCCAGTCAGTGCCGCCAGTCAGTGCCCAGAAGTGATGCCAGTCAGTGCCGTCTATCAGTACCCATCATCAGTGTCACCTATCAGTGCCGCCTATCAGTGCTGCATATCAGTGCCGCCTATCCGTGACCCCTAATTAGTGCTGTCTATCAGTGCCACCTATCCGTGCCACCTCATTAGTACTGCCTATCAGTGCCCTTTAGTGCTGCCTATCAGTGCCCATCAGTGCCGCCTATCAGTGTCCATCAGTGCCGCCTCATCAACGCAAATCAGTGAAGGAGAAAAAATACCTGTTTGAAAAATTTTATAAAAGAAACAAACTTTTTTTTTTTTTTCAAATTTTTTGCACATTTTTTAATTTATAGCGCAAAAAGTAAAGCGCCCAGTGGCGATTAAATACCACCAATAGAAAGCTCTATTTGTGAGAAAAAAAATGATCAAAATTTCATATGGGTACAATGTTGCATGACCGCGCAATTGTCAATCAAAGTGCGGCAGCGCTGAAAGCTGAAAATTGGCCTGGTAAGGAAGGGGGTATAAGTGCCTGGTAGGCAAGTGGTTAACTGCAGACTGTCAGCTTTAATTTGAGGGTATTTACATCCAAATCAGGTGAACGGTGTAGGAATTACAACAGTTTGCATATGTGCCTCCCACTTTTTAAGGGACCAAAAGTAATGGGACAATTGGCTTCTCAGCTGTTCCATGGCCAGGTGTGTGTTATTCTCTCATTATCCCAATTACAATGAGCAGATAAAAGGTCCAGAGTTCATTTCAAGTGTGCTATTTGCATTTGGAATCTGTTTCTGTCAAATCTCAAGATGAGATCCAAAGAGCTGTCACTATCAGTGAAGCAAGCCATCATTAGGCTGAAAAAACAAAACAAACCCATCAGAGAGATAGCAAAAACATTAGGCGTGGCCAAAACAACTGTTTGGAACATTCTTAAAAAAAAAGGAACGCATCGGTGAGCTCAGCAACACCAAAAGACCCGGAAGACCACGTAAAACAACTGTGGTGGATGACAAAGAATTCTTTCCCTGGTGAAGAAAACACCCTTCACAACAGTTGGCCAGATCAAGAACACTCTCCAGGAGGTAGGTGTATGTGTGTCAAAGTCAACAATCAAGAGAAGACTTCACCAGAGTGAATACAGAGGGTTCACCACAAGATGTAAACCATTGGTGAGCCTCAAAAACAGGAAGGCCAGATTAGAGTTTGCCAAACGACATGTAAAAAAGCCTTCACAGTTCTGGAACAACATCCTATGGACAGATGAGACCAAGATCAACTTGTACCAGAGTGATGGGAAGAGAAGAGTATGGAGAAGGAAAGGAACTGCTCATGATCCTAAGCATACCACCTCATCAGTGAAGCATGGTGGTGGTAGTGTCATGGCGTGGGCATGTATGGCTGCCAATGGAACTGCTTCTCTTGTATTTATTGATGATGTGACTGCTGATAAAAGCAGCCGGATGAATTCTGAAGTGTTTCGGGAATATTATCTGCTCATATTCAGCCAAATGCTTCACAACTCATTGGACACCACTTCACAGTGCAGATGGACAATGACCCAAAGCATACTGCAAAAGCAACCAAATAGTTTTTTAAGGGAAAGAAGTGGAATGTTATGCAATGGCCAAGTCAATTACCTGACCTGAATCCGATTGAGCATGCATTTCACTTGCTGAAGACAAAACTGAAGGGAAAATGCCCCAAGAACAAGCAGGAACTGAAGACAGTTGCAGTAGAGGCCTGGCAGAGCATCACCAGGGATGAAACCCAGCGTCTGGTGATGTCTATGCATTCCAGACTTCAGGCTGTAATTGACTGCAAAGGATTTGCAACCAAGTATTAAAAAGTGAAAGTTTGATTTATGATTATTATTCTGTCCCATTACTTTTGGTCCCTTAAAAAGTGGGAGGCACATATGCAAACTGTTGTAATTCCTACACCGTTCACCTGATTTGGATGTAAATACAGTCAAATTAAAGCTGACAGTCTGCAGTTAAAGCACATCTTGTTCGTTTCATTTCAAATCCATTGTGGTGGTGTATAGAGCCAAAAATGTTAGAATTGTGTCGATGTCCCAATATTTATGGACCTGACTGTATATACCCAAATCCCCACTAACCCCCTTAACCCTAACCCAAAATTCCCCTTAACACCAAATCCCCACTAACCCTCTAACCCTGAATCCCCATTAACCTTTAACCCCCCTAACCCCAAATCCTCACTAACCCCCCCTAACCGCCCAACCCCTGATAGTGGGGGGGGGGGGGGAACCCTTCTGCTATAGCTGCTAGCTATAACAGCATGTACATTCACATACATTGGCAGTAAAAACTTATACACACATATACATACTATGAAATATACTTACGCTTTTGTTTGCGCACTCCTGCTTGTAAATTGTCCCAATCTTCAAACATAATGTGAGCAATCTCATCCCAGCCTCTGTTCTTCTTGCAAGGGGCGGACTGACAACTCATGGGGCCCCCGGGCAATAGGGGATCATGGGGCCCCTGTGTCCTTGCCCAAACTCTATGAGTTTCTCCCTATGAAAGAGGCACCAGGGGCAGCTGATCGGGCCCCCTACTGACCCCGGGCCCTCGGGCAGTGCCGAGTTTCCAAATGGTCAGTTCGCCCCTGCTTCTTGCTGTTATCTTTTTAATGAGGTTCCCTGAAGTCATGTATGGCCTTTGCTTGACAAGTCCAGTCAGCTCCTCATTATCTACTGTTCTCTTCTTACCTCTGGGAGCTATGTTTATAGTGAGCACATGAACAGGAAGTGAGGAGGAGAGGAAGGATGTTGGGTGGTGTTGCAGAGAATTAAAAAATAAATATTTGCAGACATTTGAACAGAGCATTGCGATTTGACTGTGGTTCCATTGAAGTCTATGGAGCTGAAATTCGAACCGCACCACACTAAACACGCACAGGAGGCTCTTTTTAAACGCATCACATTCGCAACGCATAGATGTCAACTGCCTCCATAGAACACTATGTAAAATCACTTGCCATGCAAATCTGTGTATTCTGAACTGCATCAAAACCGCATCAAATTCGCATCAGTGTGAACTAAGGCTTAAAGGTAAGCAGTCCCTCAGTTGACTGGTTTACAAACATTTAAAATAACATTTATGATACTTTTTATATAAGTTTTCTTTTTATTTATTTTTAGTCCAGAAAATCTTGCAAATTATTATTTCAAATTTACATTTTCAGCCAGCAGGCAGAGATTCAAACTCATTTTCATCATTTTGTCAAGATATTTAAAACTGTATTACTGAAAAAAAGTTTTTATAGAGATCAATATCCCAAGCTCAAATTTATGCAATTTTTCAGCTACCCTTTGACAGGTATTCCAGTAGTCTTTTTTCTTTTGTAATAATATGCTGAAGGGACCGCACTGACATAGAGTGGGGCAAAAAAGTATTTAGTCTGCCACCAATTGTGCAAGTTCTCCCACTAAGATGAGAGAGGCCTGTAATTGGCATCATAGGTAGACCTCAACTATGAGAGGCAAAATGAGAAAAAAAATCCAGACAATCACATTGGCTGATTTGGAAAGAATGTATTTGCAAATTATGGTGGAAAATAAGTATTTGGTCATCTACAAACAAGCAAGATTTCTGGCTGTCACAGGCCTGTACCTTCTTCTTTAAGAGGCTCCTCTGTCCTGCACTCATTACCTGTATCAATGGCACCTGTTTGAACTTGTTATCAGTATAAAAGACACCTGTCCACAACCTCAAACAGTCACACTCCAAACTCCACTATGGTGAAGACCAAAGAGCTGTCGAAGGACACCAGAAGCAAAATTGTAGACCTGCACCAGGCTGGGAAGACTGAATCTGCAATAGGCAACCAGCTTGGTGTGAACAAATCAACTGTGGGAGCAATAATTAGAAAATGGGAAGACATACAAGACCACTGATAATCTCCCTCGATCTGGGGCTCCACGCAAGATCTCACCCCGTGGGGTCAAAATGATCACAAGAACGGTGAGTAAAAATCCCAGGACCACATTGGGGGGGACCTAGTGAATGACCTGCAGAGAACTGGGACCAACGTAACAAAGGTTACCATCAGTAACAAAATATGCTGCCAGGGATTCAGATCCTGCAGTGCCAGACGTGTCCCCCTGCTTAAGCCAGTACATGTCCGGGCCCCTCTGAAGTTTGCTAGAGACCATTTGGATGATCCAGAAGATGATTGGGAGAATGTCATATGGTCAGATGAAACCAAAATAGAACTGTTTGGTAGAAACACAACTCGTCGTGTTTGGAGGAGAGAGAATGCTGAGTTGCATCCAAACAACACCATACCTACTGTGAAGCATGGGGGTGGCAACATCATGCTTTGGGGCTGTTTCTCCGCAAAGGGACCAGGATGACTGATCCATGTACAGGACAGAATGAATGGGGCCATGTATCGTGAGATTTTGAGTGCAAACCTCCTTTCATCAGCAAGGGCATTGAAGATGAAACATGACTGAGTCTTCCAACATGACAATGATCCCAAACATACCGCCCAGGCAACGAAGGAATGGCTTTGTAAGAAGCATTTCAAGGTCCTGGAGTGGCCTAGCCAGTCTCCAGATCTCAACCCCATAGAAAACCTTTGGAGGGAATTGAAAGTCCGTGTTGCCCAGCGACAGCCCCAAAACATCGCTGCTCTAGAGGAGATCTGCATGTAGGAATGGGCCAACATACCAGCAACAGTGTGTGCCAACCTTGTGAAGACTTACAGGAAATGTTTGACCTCTGTCATTGCCAACAAAGGATATATAACAAAGTATTGAGATGAACTTTTGATATTGACCAAATACTTATTTTCCACCATAATTTGCAAATAAATTCTTTCCAAATCAGCCAATCTGCTTGTCTGGATTTTTTTTTTCTCATTTTGTCTCTCATAGTTGAGGTCTACCTATGATGCCAATTACAGGCCTCTCTCATCTTTTTAAGTGGGAGAACTTGCACAATTGGTGGCTGACTAAATACTTTTTTTTGCCCCACTGTATTTCTACAGTTTAAAACATTCAATCTTTTTATTAGCAATAAAAACCGACAGGGGCTCTTGCCCTCCATGCAAAATTAAAAATAAAGTTTTGCCTTTAGTTACACATTTAAAAGTAATTTTTGCTGTGATATTTGGCAAAGTCATTGCTATAACTTTGGACAGGTCTGTTTTTGTTTTG